ATTTATTAATAATTATTCATTTAACTGAGTTGCCAGTTAGCACCCCGGGTCATTAGGTGCAAGGCGCTTTTGTTAATAAATTTAATAATTAATTATATAATACAGACGCCAGTAAGCACCCTTGGTCATTAGGTGAAGGGCGCTTTTGTTAATAAATTTAATAATTAATTATCTAGTACGTTTGCCAGTAAGCGCCTCGGACAACACCAAACAAAATTTATTACTGTGTCCCTTACATAGTACACGCGCAAATCACTGATTGATTTGGTCAATATGCTCATAATAAACTTTTTTTAATTTATTAAAAACTTTTCCTATGAAGCTCCATGCATTCTGTCGATCTTAGTTAGGAACAATTTTTCTCACTCGATGGCACCACCTGACATAGGTGCATAGCGGATATTTACTATGTAAAAATTTAAACTATCCCGTGTAGAAATTGAAAGTGGGCGAAAACTGGGCCCAAGTTTTTCGGCCACGCAGCCCACTTCGGCCGCAGCTTGGCCCCCGACACGGCCTCCAGTGGGTTTATTATATGGCGCTGACTCGGGCGCAGCTTGGCCTGATTTGGCATAACGTTTGCCCAGTAATCGCCCACTTTCGTCTGCAGATCAGTATAACACAGAGACGTCTGTATATAAGTATACAAATGTAGAATGATGTGCACGCACGCCGACACACATGAATATATATACAAACTTATATGCTTGTATATATCCAATATCAGTGCAGACGAAAGTAGGCGGTTACTGGGCGAAAGTAATGTTAAGTCAGGCCAAGCTGCACCCAAGGCAGCGCCTTATTACAAACCTACCGGTGGCTAGGCGCCCAGGGGTGTGTTTCAGTAACGCTTTCCGACAACTTAATTATGTCTTACGATTTCTTGCGTCATGTTTAAGTTGTCAAAAAGTTGTCGGAGAGCGCTACTGAAACACATGGCAGGCTTGGTTGCTTGATTTGGGCCATGCGCTTAAGCAGGGCTGCCCACTTTCATTTATACTCGGGATGCTTACAGATATACATCCTAGAGGAATCGGACTCGGACCGACCGACCGATTACAAAAAAAAACACGTACCCCATAAACAGGAATGACCTTATTATTGGGTGCAATCCGCAATCGCCGCCAGCTGCCAGCAGTTACATACGTAAGACGTGACAACGTTGCGTCGTTGGGGGCGCTACTGTCGATTTACTGGTGATGTGATCCGCAATCCCGCCAGCAGTAAAGCAGACAACGTCGGTCTACTTGCTCTTTTTCGTGAAATTTTTATTGTGATCCCGCGCAATCCCGCTTGCAGTAAAGCTGTTATTTCCATTTTTCTTTTTGGCACTTGAAACAATTTTTTTGGTCTGCGTGTTTGTTTATGTCTAGCACAATATGCTTTGCTTACAATCAGAAAATGTCACGAAAAAGAGCAAGTAGACCGACGTCGTCTGCTTTACTGCTGGCGGGATTGCAGATCACATCACCAGTAAATCGACAGTAGCGTCCCCAACTACGCAACGTTGTCACGTCTTACATATGTAACTGCTGGCGGGCTATTCAGGCTATTGCGGATTACACCCATTTGCTTATTCCATGATCATATCACATTTGTATGTAAAGGTGCCTTGTAAAGTGATATCATCCGATACTGAAAATATATACGGATTGCTAAAAAATTATTTTCGTGTACCAGTTCAAAATGACAGCTGTTCTTATGAAAACTTCCTTACAGCTGCAGCAACGTAAGTTATTTTTTCTGATTCCAAGAAAGTAAAATAAAGATGTCTGGAACATTAGGCGACTTAAGAATGTATGTATTTCTTTTAGAGCTTTTGGTTGTTGAAGCCTGTAATATTATGGATTTCAGAATTTTGAGGCGACAAATTAAGACGTCTAATTCAGTACTATCTGTACTTCCAAATCTTATGTACATTTTTGACCGAAATGCTAAACTTTTTCAAAGAGAACGTGCAGCTCAGGCAAATGATGTACATGTATATGATTATATAAAAGATGAAGTGGGTTCTAGGCTCGCAGACAGAGTTTTCGATATCAAACGAAAATTTGATTGTGTCTTGAATCTGGGGTGTGGACGTGGCCACGTGTCCAAGAATATTACAAATGAAACTACAAATGAACTCATACTTTCTGATTTGAGCCCAAGCTGGCTACAGCAAGCTTCTACTGCAAAAGGCATTAAAGTTAAAAAAATTGTTTCAGATGAAGAAGAACTTGCATTTAAAACGAATAACATAGATTTCATCATAAGCTGTCTGAGCTTACACTGGGTCAATAACTTACCCCACTGTTTGAATAATATAATAAGAATCTTGAAGAACGATGGTGTATTCATGGCTGCAGTTTTTGGTGGTGAAACCCTTTACGAATTGAGGTAAGCTGTAAACAATTCTGTACCATATTTCCAATACTAATATAGTTAATGCCTTTTACCTGTAATTTCTTGAATGTGTAGAGGTGCTTTGCATTTGGCCGAGTTAGAGAGAGATGGAGGGATAGCACCCCATATTTCACCTTTCACTGAAATTAGAGATATTGGCAGTCTATTGACAAAAGCAGGATTTGCAATGTTAACAATAGATACTGATGAAATTGTTGTTGGATATCCAACTATGTTTGAATTAATGTGGGACTTGAAAGGTATGTTACTTATTCAGTATTAACGTCAGCTTGTATGTAACTAGACTGGTTTTTTTTTTTGTCGGAAGGTTGCCGCAAAATAGTCACGTTAGAGCAAGGCCACAAATAATAAAAACTACACTCTAAGAATGTAGTTGCGAGAGCTCATATACTGTTGAAACTTTAGACTTCTACTCATTTAACCAGACATATCTGTTTTTTGAAACTTCAGATCTTTTTACTGTACCGTTATTTATTTTGCAAAAACGTAAATTAAACATGCAACCTTATCAAAAAATAGCGTAAAAGTGCATTTGTAAGCAAATTATCAGTAAAAATCTCCTAATTTTCTAACAAAATATGATAAAAGGGGCAAAGTATGTGTAAACGCTTATAGTTAAGTACACTGTAAAAAATACAATTGTAGAAGTACGAGTCCACTTGTAAAAATATACTAAACTGTACCCAGCGATGTAAAAATATCATGGACTTGTAATCTTACAAATTTCTACGTTAGTATGCTACCATTGTTGTAATTTAACTACGTGCAGCATTGGAGAAAATCCGACCAATGCTGAATGTTGTAGTTTTACTACTCACGTTGAAGACTTTTTGCTACGATAGTAGTAATATTACTAAGTATCTGCTGATGAAAAATGCGTAGAAGCAATAGTAACTCTACTAGTGGTATAGTAGGACCGAAACAAACTTGTCTTTTTTCAGATTTCTCAAAATTTAAACTATTTAACCTGTGCGTGTGTATTTTGGTATTTTTGTGTGCTACTTCGATTGTTAGTCTAGTAATGTAATAAGTATTACATTACTATCATAATGAGTTTTCTATCGTTATAGTAAATAAAATATCAATTATTTCCGTTCATAGCAATACAAGCCAAATAGTAGATTTACAATTGGAACTGTACTGTTACGAACGTGGTCGTAACTTTACAATATTCAGCATTGGTCGGATTTTTTCCAATGCTGAGCATTGTGAATGTACGATTTTATTTTTTACAGAGAATAATTCGAAATAATTCAAAATTATACATAAAGTTATTTCGTTCTGTACAAAATGAAATCATATTAGGAATAAAATTAAAATTCGTTCACGAAAAATGTACAATTTTATTTCATTATATTCGCAGTGCCCATTTGCTCGTAATATTCACGTAATTACCAACGTGGACATACGTGGACTAGCGGCGCCCCCCCCCCCCCCCCGTCCACGATGTATGGAAATAGGAAACCTAAGTTTGTTGACACGTAACATAAAATGTTTTCAGTTATACATTTTGCATCTATTCTTGACACTTCATGGAATGAAAAACTACTAATAAAAAAAATTTTTATTTGACAAGCCATGCAGTTTATTTGGTCCAAGAATAAGCTGTAAAAAGTAAAAAAAAAAAAAAAATCTGTCTAGGGGCACCTTTCCATACGCGACAAATGCGAAGCGGCAAAGGTAGGCAAAGATCACGAAGTAATAGAGAAGATGAAACTCCTTGCACTAAAAGCGGGCATTCTTTCCTGACCAAGACCACACATATATATGTATCGGCACTATGTTGGTTCACCTGATTCTGCAGCTCCTCCTAATACTATGGAAGCACGGAGGGGGTACCGGCGTTGTTTTACCAAGTGTATCACGCACATAGTCTATAACTGAAGAACCGAAGCCCCGCGCAACGGCAGCGTCAGTGTATACATAATAATTATGTAAGTAATTGTTTTAAAAAAATATTCATTTTTTATTATATGAACATAATTATTAAGCGATTTTTATCATAAATTTCTTATTATGTTGTCACAACAGTAATAACTTATAAAGTTTTTACGCTAAAACTGACGCGCCATTGTGCGGTGCTTCGGTTCTTCAGTCACAAACTATGTGCGTGATACACTTAGTAAAACAACACTGGGGGGTACCATGTCTAGTTCCCCCAAAGTACGTAGGCTCGTTCGGTAAATGAGCAGTGCATACAACATGTATATTTCTAGTATAAACAGCCTACATGCCCAAATCCACAAAACCCAAGTACTTAAACCTAGTAACCCAATGCGTTCATGGATCTATCCACAGTATCTCAATATGCTTTACTATTAACAATAAATTTATCAACACCCCAAGCGGCTCATCTCCGATAACCCAATGCGCTCTACTATCTGCAATGATGTTTAATAACTTAATCAATTCATACTCTCAGTCAATAAATAAATATCCCAAGCTCTTAATCCCCAATGTCCTATACGCTCTCCTATCTGTACTGATTATTAAATAATTAATTAATTAAATAATCGGCAGTGAGCTAATACTCTCGACCACTTCTTTAAAAAATAAAAAAAAAATAAAATAAATAACTTAAGCGACTATTCCCTAATAACCCTATACACTTTACTGTCTGAGCTATTTAATAATTTATTAACTAACTAATAAATTGTAAGTGAGCCAGTATGAAACAACTTCTATAATAAATAAATAAATGAAATCCCAAGCGCTTAATCCCTAATAACCTAAAACGCTCTACTGTCTGTACTGTTAATTAGTTAATAAATAGACGGTAAACCAGTTCTCTCGACAAGTTCTTTAAAAAATAAATAAAGAAATCCCAAGAAAACCCTCTACAACGCCCTACCATCTGAGCCATTTCATAATTCATTTACTAAATAATGAATTCCCTGTGAGCCAGTATGAGACAACTTCTTTAATAAATAAATAAATAAAGTCCCAAGCTGTTAATCTCCAATAACCCTGTACGCTCTACTGTCTATACTGTTTAGTAAGTTATGCTTTAACTAATAAATCGCTGTGGCTCTCAGATGCTTCTTCAATAAATAAGTAAATAATATCCCAATGGCTTAAATACGCTCTACTGTCTGTGCTACTAAATAAGTTATTAATTAACTAACAAATTGCCGATGCTCTTAGATGCTTCCTTAATCAATAAATGAATAAAATCCCAATCGCTTCATCCCCAGAAACCCTAAGCGCTTTACTATATGTAGTATTTGATAAATTATTAATTAAATAATAAACTGCTAGTTAACAGATTATTAAATAGCTTAGACAGTAGTGAGTAGTAGGTTATTGAGGATTAATCGCTTAAGTTATTTAATTTTTATTTATTAAAGAAGCGGTTGAGAGTATTAGAACACTGTCGACTAATTAATTATTAAATAAACAGTACAGATAGTAGAGCGTATAGAGCGTTAGGGATTCAGAGCTTGAGATATTTATTAATCTATTGATCGAAAGTATGAATTAATTAAGTTATTAAATATCATTGCATATACCAGAGCGCATTGGGTTATCGAGGATCATCTGCTTGGGGTATTGATAAATTTATTTTTAGTAGTAAAGCATATTCAGCTACTGTGGATTGATCCATGAACGCACTGGGTTACTAGGTTGAAGTACTTGGTTTTTTGTTGTTTTGGGTGTATATGCTGTTTGTACTAAAAATTTATATGTTGTATGCACTGCTCATTTATCGAACGTGCCTACTTTAGGAGAACTGGACAGGGTACCAGAGTTGGTTAAATACATTGATTTTCGGATTCATAAGGTATGAAACATTTCCAACGTTTCCGACAACCGATTCAGAGTAAGCTATCTATATATACACATTAAGGTCCGATGAGTCTTATCACCCGATGACCCGGGGTGCTAACTGGCCACTACATTAAATAAATAATCATGAATCGCACAAGCGCCTATCATCCAATGACCCGGGGCGCTTACTGGCTTCTCCATTAAATAATAAAATATTAATTATTAACACAAACGCCTATCACCCGATGACCCTGGGTGCTTACTGCTCAATCTATTAAAGAATAAAGTATTAATGATTAACACTAACGCCTATCACCAAGTGTCCTGGAGTGCTTACTGGCCATTACATTGAATAGAAAAATATTAATTATAAACACAAGCAGCTATCACCTGATGACCCGGGGTGCTTACTGGCCAAACTTTCAAATAATAAAATTTTAATTATTAACAGAAACGCCTACCACCTCGCGTCGCGGTCCTCACGGGCCTCTTTATTAGGATAACGTATTAATAATTAACACAAGCACCTATAACTCAATAAACCAGAGCGCCTACTTTCCTTGCTAACAAATAATAAAGTAATAATAATTAACACAAACGCCTATCACTTGATGACCCAGGGTGCTTACTGGCCACACTTTGAAAAAATAAAATATTAATTATTAACACAAATCCCTACCACCTAGTGTCCCGGGGCTTACGGGCCTCTCNGGGTGATAGGCGTTTGTTTTAATAATTAATACGTTATTATTTAATAGAGAGGCCAATTTGCGCCCGAGGTCTCTAGGTAATAGGCGTTTGTGTTAATAATCAATATTTTATTATTTAATAGATAGGCCAGTAAGCACCCCGGGTCATCGGGTGATAGGCGCTTGTGTGATTCATAATTATTTATTTAATATAGTGGCCAGTTAGCACCCCGGGTCTTCGGGTGATAGGACTCATCGAACCTTAATGTGTACATATATATAGCTCTCTCTGAAACGGTTGTCGGAAACGTTGGAAATGTTTTATACCGTATGAATCTGAAAATCAATGTATTTAACCAACTCTGCAGGGTACCCCCTCCACGCTTCCAGAGTCTTACGAGGAACTGCGGAATTAGGTGAACTAACATAATGCGTATATATGGGAGATCTCACTTAACTAGCATCAGAGCCATCTAATATAATAAATGGAAGCTAGAATCACTCGGTAAACCGCAAACTATTTAACCTTTCAACCCAATCTACTTTACCGTCCTTACCTTAACTCAAAATTACTTACCATGTACACAACTTAAATATAATTTTTACATTGTGTTCAATTGTAACGTTGCATTTTCGTCCCCGAATCGACGATTTCACGTCGACGCGAAGCCGTCCCGATACAACGCACTAAAACACATCATATCACGTACGACACCTAAAACAACAAAACTCTGCGACCCAATACTCTCTCGAACGCCTTGGCTTGGCTCAGCTCTGCTCTC